ATACATATTGTTGGTATGTTGTACATATATACATATACGTGTGTCTATGTGTATACATAGGAGCCCTGATGGCATAGTAGTCATCACTTAGCAAATTGCTAAGTAAGCAGTTTGGTTTGGGTTTTTATACTGTGTGTACATGTGTACGTATGCACGTATGCGTATATGAGGAACCCTGGTGGCATAGTGGTTACTGGGCGGGCTGCGATCCCAAATGTCAGCAGTTTGAGACCACCAACCTCTCTGCCAGAGAAAGAAGGGGCTTTCTACTCCTGTCAGGAGTGGCCGTCTTGGAAACCCAGGAGCAGTTTTCCTCCATCCTATAGGGTCACTATGAGTTGGCATCAACTTGACAGTGATTTTGTTTTGTTTTGTTTTTGTGCGTGTGCGTATGCACATATCCTTGGTGGCGTTATAGGATAAGTATTGGACTGATAACTATAAGACTAGTGTCGCTCCTATAAAGATTTACAAATCCTTGGGATCCCATATAGAGTTTATGTGTGTCAGAATCAATACAGCAGCAGAGGTCTTGTGGGTTTGGGTATATACATAATTCAGAAGCTCTCAGTTAAGGTCATTGTTTCATAATCTTACCTGACAGTCGGTGTCATTCCAAATATAGGCAATCTGGTCATCCAGGAAAGGATTCTGTGTTTCTAGACGCCGTTATAATTTAATGTGTTGAGAAACACAGTGGCAAGAAATACACAGGTAGATGCTAGCTCTCAAACAAAACAGGCTTTGGAACTTCATCCTCTGTATCCGAGGGTCCTCTCGAAGGAAGGAAAGACTTTTCAGCCCGCTTGTCTGGTGGCCTGTCTTTCTGAAAGGTCCAGTCGAGGACACCTCTCCCGCTGAGAACACTGAGAGGGTCGCAGTGGGGGTGTATTGACGGAGAGGGCCCACTTGCAGGAGGTGTGGTCAAGATTCAGAATTGGCAAAGACCTCTCTTGGAAGATCCAACAATGAATCTAAATGTATAATTGGGTATAAAACAAGGGATATAGTGTATTGCTCCTTGATATGAAGTCAGCAAATATAGAAATTTGGGATTAAAGCCAAGCATAAAGAAAGATCGAGCCTCATGATACTTTGGAAACTATAACAGTGACTTTAAACATGGGGGGAAAATGCTTTTTCCGAGGCTTATGAAAACCCAAATCAAGGGAGATGGGCGGACATTTTCAACGAACGCATTGCCAAACAGCAAATCCTTCTCCAAAGGAAGTATGCTGTATTGGCGTTTCAAGTTAACCTGTAATCTTCAAAGTGCCTTTCAACAGGAACCTACCTAATCCTCATAATCAGAAGCGAAGCAGCAAAGTTTCTCTTTGACAGAAAGCCAAAGAGAGCTTTAAAGAGATCTGTTGTCTGGGTTACTAAGGCTAGACATGGGCATGGAGTGACAAGACTTTTCCCCTCCCCCCTTCAGGAATGTGAAGGAGCCCATCTCCAAACCAGCCAGCCCCCAACAGCTCTCATGGCCCCAAACGGGTCTCCTCCCTCCCTCCTTTCCTGCTGGGGAACAAGAAGAAATCTTGACGTCTTGCCTGGATCATCATAGGTTTCTTGAGTTAGCTCCGAATCGGCACCCAGTTTTGTGTCGTTGGCTTTTTGGTTCCATTCCTTAATAGGAAAATCAAACCATGAAAACCACAGAGTTAAAAACCCATAAAGCCCTGGAAGACCGAAGCACTTATTCTCTAGAAGTAAAACAGGCCAGATAAATCAAATCACGTCTTTTATGAATGACCCAAGTAACCAAACCATAAATTAGTATCTGCTTACTGCAAAGCAGTCTCTGGATACAAGATAAAACCACAGCAAAAT